ATGAGTTAGCTGTTTGAAACCTGGGACTTATGCAGGGACGCTTGGCTCAATCTGGGAGGAGGGGACTGGACCTGCCTGGACTGGTTGGTTAATCAACTCAGGTTGATCTCAGTCCTTGGGGGAGACCTTGATCTGGAGGAGGTGGGAATGGGGGGTAGGCTGGGGGGAAGGGGAGGCGGGCAGGAAGGGAGAGAACAAGGGAATCTGTGGCTATTATGTCGAACTGAAGAGTATTGTAAAATAAAAAAAAATGTTTCTTCAAACAGAAATTCTTCAGTTAGGGATTTCTCCCAGTTCTGAGGTCTAGGCTTTAACATTTTTAATATTAGCTGGGCCATTTTAACCCCATCAAATTATTAAATGAAAAAGAAACAGAAGGTCATTTCATAAAGGAGGGACCTGACTGTTCACACTCACAGAAATTGTGAGCAAGAATTTGCATAAACATCAACGAGAAACACCACCCCCCATGAGATTGATGGACTCGGGGGTTGAAGAGGCTCCCAGTATGGTAACTAGACAAATACCCTGATTCAGGGGTCACTGGGTGATCTGGGTAGGACGATGATTCAGCTTTCTCCTTACAGACCCTATCTTGAACCCAAACATGTGGTCTTGCAGAGGACCCCTTCATTCTGTGGGACCTGTGAGCTGGCTCAGATGTTTGAGAGTGAAGGACTCTTAGCTGGCCCCCTCCAAGGTTTATCCATAGAGCCAGTGACTCTGCCTTTCATCCAAGTCACCACCACCACCACCACCACCACCACCACCACCACCACCACCACCACCACCACCACATTCAATGACCTGGACTCTGTGTTCCTGACCTGCTTCTCAAAAGACATGGGGATCTCCTTCAGGTGGCTCTTCAATGGCCAGAGTCTGAGACTCACTAACAGGATGAAGCTGTCCCACAACAACAGCATCCTCAGCATAGACCCTGTCAGGAGGAAGGATTCTGGAGACTATCAGTGTGAGGTATCCAATCCAGTCAGTTCCAAAAGGAGTGACCCCATCCAGCTGGACATAATAGGTGAGTGATCTCTGCTCCATTCTTACTCCATAGTGTTGGGGATGGGGGCAGTTTCTTTATCAACAGAGTGCGGAATGTGTAAAAGTCACAAGGAGAAAAACATGGTTCAAGATACAAATACAGCCAAATACAGTGATGGATGCATGTTAATCTCAAGATAACACATCAAGCAAGGTGAGCACAGTGCTGCATGCCTTTAACCCCAGCATACCAGAGGCAGAGACAATTGGATCTCTGTGAGTTCCCAACCACCCTGGACTTGTACCAGTTTCAGGTTAGTCAGAGCTGCATAGTGAAACCCTGTCTCAAAAGAGAGAACATGAAGCAGGAGGTATAGAAGTACAAGGCCACTCAACTGAATGGACCAGGCTCTGCTGACTCCCCATGGAAGACATTACTTTGTAGGATTTGGGAATAGAAGTGTATTGGTTGGGAACACTGGTAGACTGGGGGAATGAGGAAAGGGGAATCTGTGGTTGGTATGTGAAATGTATAGAAAATCTCTTAATAAAAAAAGAAGCACAAGGACAGCCCAGATTACATTGTGAGACCTGGACAATAATAACAACAATAGATGTTAATATAGCAAATAGAAATGCAAAGTGATTAAGAATTTAGGGTCTGAGTCAGACACATAGATCATCCTCAGAATCTACTAATATATTCATGTTATGCTACATCCCATACCACACAATCAAATTTTCTTTATATTATTTCCAATACCTAATATGAATACTGCATAGACCATAGTCTTATTCTGTTGAATACAGGACAAAGATAGGAGGAAACAAAACACTTTTCATTCTAGACATACTTTTCCAAGTAGTTTGTTTCCAAGGTTTTGATCCATCAATATAAAATTCATAGATCGAAAGGACCTGTATTGAGTTTCTTACTACGTTTGC